AAAAAAAAAAAAAAAAAAAAACTACACCTACTAAAATAATTATTTGTATCCATGGAACTTTCGCCAGCTTTATCACTATCCGTCAAACCTCCTAAATTGCTCTGACAATTATCCTTCGTGGACATCCGTCTACTACTTTCAGCCTGCTCTTGCCGTGAACTTTCCAGATTGCAAAAATCTACACAAAAGTTTCGTCCTTTAGAAATTTGTACAATTCTAGAGTGAGATCTCACAAGATAATATCTTACCGGTAATTAACATTGTCAACGAAGTAGGAAGTCCAGAATCGATCAATTGTTGAATACCTGGTGGAGACCGAGCGGCTGCAGCTACAGTGAGCAACTGTCCTTCTGTTAAATTTAACCGTTTATATTCTGATAACACATAACGATAATACCATTCTTCACCATTAAATTCGCTTTTTCTATCATCTGTTTGACCTTCTCTTTCCTTACGATCATCCGAAATAGACGCAGAATGATCTGTTGCCATGTTAGGTACCAAAATTTGTACTCTTTGAAGAAGCAAAGGAAACAATGAAGGTCTCACGTAACAAAATGCGCAAAGAGCAGAATCAATTGCTTGTTTTAAAGCAGAACCCGTTCCCAAGACCAAAGTCCATTGATACAGAGCACTGTGGAAAACATAGTATATATTAAAATTTAATTTAAGATTAAAAGCAAATTTAAATAAAACATGCAGAGTATAACATACTTGAAAAGTTCATCTGTCAATAAAGCTTGCAAATCATAATTAAGATTTTGTTGTTGGTGAGCTTCCCATATAATGGAAGACACGCAATGAATATATACAGCGGGTGGGTTAATGGTATTAGGACCATTACTGGGCCGAGAAATTCCATTTACTGCTGATGCATGAAGCCACGATAACACCGCTGTCATACGAGCTTCTGTGCAAAAATCTTGTATGGAACATAATTGTTGCAACAATTCTACAACTAATTGAACAGTTGATGTTTCTTGCGTCGTTGTGGCACCTGTAAAATATCAACCAGTTGGATTTCAGTTCGTTACGTATTCAGAGACATACATTTGAAAAAAAAAGAACAGAATCAATTCCCAAGAAAAGCAGTACCTTGAAAGAAAGAAGTAGACCTGTTGTTGAGTAAAAGACCAATAAGTCGAAGTCCAAGCTCTCGAGAATGTAAGCCTAATTGCAAAAGAACCCTCTCCAGATTGGGAGTAAAAAGAGATGGTGCTGGGAGTAACAGAAGATTACAACATGCTTCAACCAGTCCTTCAACGGAAGCCGCAGAATTAAGCACTTTAACAGCGAGATTGCTGTTCAACGTGCTCACGGATAGACATTGATGTAGCAATCGCAACCAACCCAAGCTAGACAGAGATACGTTACAAAATATTTTTTACTTATGAAATCAAAGAAGTCCGCTTCACAGTGAATATGATCAAAAATCGTATTGACAAATGTACGATTTATACGATCATTAAAAAATTACCTTGTCTTGGTCAGTTGTTCTTCGTCTATAGTGTCACGATTTGTTTTTATTTCACCGAATGCCGTGGTACCTAATAATCTAATCTGACTTAAACTTATACTTCTTGAATCACGCGGTTTGTATAATCGTACAAGTACGGATGTTGCCACTTCTGGCTGAGATAAGGTGATGCGTATAAATGTTAAACCTGCCGTAGGCATCGGTGGACAAACAGGTGTTAGAGGACTGTTACTTTCTCTTGAAACTTCAATAGCTACAGCTGACGGACATGCTGTAAGATAGTGATATAATCATAGCGACATTAAAACATGGCATACATTGCCAGTGTATTATTGTTAATAATACATTTATATATCTTACTAGCTAAAGAGGTAAGATGTGGCTGCAGTTCCACCTTTCTCAATAATATAGCACAGGGTAAAGTAATCGCTAGATCAACCCATGCTTCATCGGGAAAGCAATGATATAACCAGGCAGCTGTCCTGGCTCGTTTATGTGGTGTGGAACTCTGTATAAGAACATCTGCTGGTTGCGCAGCAGGATTAAACCAAGATATTACGCCCAAAGGAGCAAAGTTTAATAGTCCATCCTCGTAAGTCTCTAGCGTATTCATGGACTTTTTGCTACTTGAAGAAGCTGCTGGTAAGACAGTAGGAACATTCGAAAGATGTTCCATTACTAACGCAATCACATCAGGCGAAGCAGAGTTAGTATTACCACTGTTACTTGATTTAACCAAATTTTCACAAAGTACTTTTACTCCATCCATTGCTGTGAACATTGCCAGTGATACTTCATTGTCTAATACCCTTAGGATGTACCAAAGAAGCGGCTCGGACAATTGCATAACACCCAATTGTCGATTTAGTTCTCTTTGTTCACATGCTGAAAAATATATCAGATATAAAAAAAAACATATTTATTAAAAATTAAAATTTCTGGGAATAATTATACACTTACAAGAGGAAAGATACTGGTAAAGTGGATTGAGAACTAAAGAACGATTGCTTGCTTTTTTAGTAAGAGTAGTCAAAAGTTGGAATGTAGCATCTGGTATCGAAGCAGGATCACCAAGTTCAGTTGCTGTTCCTGCACCAGCACTCTCACCTAGCAGCATTGCTAGAGATGAACCGGTGCTATGACCTAAAGCTCCTAACAATCGCATCATGGTCGGTTCATGTTGCAAAACTGAAAATTATAACATTCCATCGAGTAATATAATTAATATAATTAAGTTAAAATAACATTGTCACATTTTGATACATACCAGTATCTGCAACACATCGTACACGAGGTTTATTAGATGTACATTGTTGCAAACGAGACGAAGATTGTTGTTCTGCAACTTTACTTTCATCCGTTTGTGAGATATTTACATTCATTTGAGTATCATTAATATCAATATTTGCATCGAAATCAGTCTCAGAAAGATCTATTCTCATTGAATCATCAGATCGATCTGAGCAACTCTGATAATATAAAAAAACGCAATAAGATATTATATTTCAAATATCTACTCGATATGGAATCTTTTAAACAATAATGTATACCTCTGGTAAAGGTGTTTGAATAAGTCGACATACTAATTTAATAAGAGCTACGACTAGAGTATCCCACGATGTGGGATGATCTTGTCTGGTATCTCCACCAAATACACAAGCAAATAAACTTCCAAATCCACCAGATGAATTTGCTAGATCACCAGTACCGCTACATTGAGCTCCAACTGTTACAAAACACGATCAAGGAAAATAAAACTGCATAGCAGTTCGGTTATAAAATATAGTTTATAAAGTTACCTTCAGAACCTCTAACATAAGTAGAAACTAGTACTCCGACGCATTCTGTTATACTCATTGCAGTTCCTAGATCTGTATTGGCAAAATATAGATTTGTTAATGACGTTATAAGTTTGTACTGTGCATCTAAAGGTCCTCTTCTTGAAGATAGGGCTCCACCAGGTTGTACTAGTTGATATATCACCCACAATAAGAGTTCTTTTAATGCATTCCCTAATGTACTGCCAGGTGTAATTACATCGCATCTCATTTTTAACCTAACTAGAAAATATTGCAATGCTTGGCAAACAGTAGGACCAGCCTGAAAACCATGTATCGAAACACAATTACAGAATACTGGAATAAAGTTTTGAAAAGATTTATAAACATACCATAATGTATTGTTTGTCCATTGCGTTAACATTTAACCCGCTTCCAGAAAGTAAACGCAAAAGCATAGGACCCATATTACGCTCTTTTACGATACACCCAGCCATACCACCGAGAAGACCATCCAATGGTTGTCTACTATTTGCAGCTTCTGCAGGATTTGTCTGTAATGGTTGATTACTTGCCAGAGTCAAACACTGAAGAGCGAGACACCAAGCTCGCAAAGAAACTCCCGGGTGCCTACAAATTGATTTTCATTATTGAACAATTTATATCACAAATTTCTATCATTAAACTGAATTTCATATTTACCAAGACAATGCAGATATAAGGTTTGAAATAGCTGTTGAACTTAAAGGTATAACGGGTGTAAGTGAAGGATCAAATTGATTTGAGGAATTTGATTGTTCTGTGGAAGCATCTAAATTCAACGTTAACCAAAGCTGAAGAATAAGTTCCAAATTTGTTTCCGCAGTCTATTGCGAAATAAAAATAATTCTTAATTTACTCTGAATTCCTTGGAAATCATATAAGTAGTAGTTATTGTTTAATCGCCGTTACCTGTAAATATAATTCTGTAAATATTTTGTCAAAACACCTTGTTAACATTATTAAACTCGAAGAAATTGTATCAGGTGAATTCCAAACGTCTTCACTTCTCTCATTCCAATTAGATTCTGCTTTTGATGTTGACTGTTGGGAATATCGATTTGATTCTGATGGTACCTTTTGTATAAAAATTAAAGATAAATTTTATTCAAATTGTCCTAAAAATAAATACAAATACCATTGACTCACATGTATCGTGGTACTTATACTATAAGGTAAATTATACATGCTGAACATAGACAATATCCTTAATGATAACTCTATTCCCATTTCTACACCATATTCCAATCTTGCATCCATTGCTAAAGAAATCCTATACGAATTTTCAATTAATTTAATGTTTAATACAATTAAATTATATTCAAGTATTTATTAATATATATTATGTACATACCCGGATATGTCTACATTCTTAGGTAATGGATGGCCTTTCTTTAATGTATTCCTACCACGTTCTAAAATATCATCCAAGAAATCTTCAAGTTCACTGTCATCAGACTCTAAAAGGGAAGGCAAAAATCCATTGGACTTTGATGTTGAAGCACCTGCAGACAACACCACTATACCATCATCGTCTTCCCCTTCACCATCCGCAAACCCTTCATCATTACCAAGTGGAACAGTAGTATTACTTGTTTCAGCAGCACTAACGTATTCTTCTTCTGGTGTTCGACTCTTCTCCGTAACAAGAGATTCAAAGTTTTCCTCGGAAGAATTTCCTTCATGTGTAGAACACGTTTTCGGAGTTAGTTTTCCGCCTATAATAGTAAATAATAATGAAGAGTCAAAAGAAACATATATATAAATAATAAATCTTACAACCATACTTTATGACAATAATACAATAAAAACTGTTTTATACCTTCTAATAAATCCTGTAAAAGGCACGAAACTGCATGTGAAGACCAGGCCGCGTCAGAAGTACCCGTTGCCAATCTGACTAATTTTAGGAGCTGTTCTTCGCTCATAAGCTCACACAAGCTAATTGCAGGACGTGTAGATATCACTAGCCTAGCGACTACCTATATGGCACATGATACAACAATTCAAAAAGTTGCCTCGTAAAAAGCATGAAGCTTATTGTATATTAAAAATTATCAAACATATCTACAAGCTAACAATATTTTGATTATAAATTGTAATACTAAGCATTGATACAAATAAAGCATTAATGAACTAATTTCATGATTTATATTTCGTTCATAAATAAATAATATATATTATGGTTTTAAATCGAATTAACTTACCTTGCAAGCTAGTAGGAACATATCCACATTAGCAGAATTATATAAAATAAGAGCAATAAGTCCACGTGCAACAGGCAAAACATTTTGATGTGATAAGTTGGATATATATTCAACATCCATATCCGTTGTTTCCGATTTGCTAGAACTTACAGATATTAAATTACTATAAATATTAAAGATTGATCAGACCGTTATATAAATGTTTATTACAAACCTTGTGTTTGCCTGTGGTTGTGAACTACGAGAAGAATGTTGCGTATCATTTTTACGAATACTAAGAATATCTTTGAAATGCTTGGCAGAATTTTGTTTTAATGTTTTCTTAAAGAACTGCTCCTGTGACTTTAATGTTGCTTTCATTTTATTGCACAACGAAGCAGTATGTGAAAGATTAGTCCATCCCTTAAAAATTCATATATTTACATATTAATATTAAAATTTGAATGTTCACTTATTATTAAAATAAATAAAAAATATATATATGAAATAAAATAAATATATAAATATATATAAATTATAAATAAATATATAAATGAAAGTACTTTCATACCTGCGATGACGTATGGAACGCTTTCTTTGCTTGCTCTAACTCTTGAAGTTGTTGCTTGTGATGCATTATATGTTTTTGTAATTTTTTACGATAACTAAAACTTATAGAACGATTGGCATTACCATATTTCCTCTGCATTGCAGATTCCCCTTGAATAAACTCCCAACGAGAAGATGAACCTTTTAAATAAATTTTTACATAATAAGATAATAAGAATTTGAAACACTAGTACTACTTTTTTTCATATGAAACATCTATATATATGATACCTTGTTCTCTAGTTTTATCATTATTTTCCTCCAAACAAGTAGATGGAATCGTTATAGTATCTAAACATACTGACAAGAAAAGCAGTACCCAACCGATAAGTGTTATGTCCAAATGATTTGTATCAGATGTTTGAGAATTTGACAATGGTGCCAACAATTTGCCTAGCGTACGAACCATAGCATCTATCACAGAAGACCTATTAACTCCAGCAATCAATGATTTACGCCCAAGAAGAGTTAGCAAGATAAATACTCTAAAAATCGATGTTCGGCTTAGATAACGTTTTTAATTTTTATTGAAAAATTAAAGAAATTGTTCCATACCTGTCTTGTGGGAATATGTGCGTAGACGACGACGAGTAAAGATTAATTAAAACATTAGACAAAAAATTACCCCACCAAGGTTGATGACCTGCCATACGCGTTAAAAGTGCAACGGCTTGCAGTTGTAACCGTGGAGCTGGTGTAACAACACAAATCGAATGAAAAAACTTTTCACAAATAGTTGGTGTAAAAACATCACATATTGATAACGGTATCTAAAAAAGAAAATAAATATATATTTAGAAATTTTAGATAATTATAATGAAAATCATAATACATAAAAATTAGAAAACACACGCTAGGTATTGGACCAATTTCATATCCTACAAACAAGAGAATATCGAGTAAAGTTTCTCCCAGAGCTCGCAATTTATCAGTTGGTGCATTTGCTAAAGACATTGTAGGTATGGTTTGAGAACCTTTCCACGATTCCAATCGTCTCCATACACCACGCACGACATTTAATTGATGTTGAAACATTATACATTCCTATAATATGTAACACGTAAATTTTTTACACATGTAATTAGCCTTTGTATTAAAATACTTGGTACATAATTATTTAATTTACTTGGTATGTAGTCAATATTTTTACAGATGACAGCTCTTTATTTTCATTAGATACTTTACTAAAAGAAAGATAGTGTTGCATATGCATAACATTAGTAGTTTCTGAACACAAAAGTGGATCCAATAGGCTTTTTAGTTTCTCAGTGGCTAGACTAAATCTAGAAGAATAAAAAAACAAATAATGATAAGTTGTATAAAACTTATTTGAACAAATATATTATAAGTACCTGCACTGCACGTCTTCCGCGAGAGCTGACAATATATTGCACTGTGTATTGATAGTAGCTTGCACATTAGAATCAAACGTGTCATCACAAGCTGATGAATTACTGTTTAATTCCGCGTAATCTTCTCCAGGTAAAACCATCATGTGTCCGTAGAAAATCCCTAATGGAATTTTACACATAGTAGGAGACATTCCATATCGACCTATGATTATAATCTAGAAGAAATAAAACAGTTTTTTTGTTATACAAATAAATAAATAAATTAAGCTAAGTGAAATAAACTTCTTTATTATAGTAAAAGCGAATATTAATTAAATACCTTCAGGTATCTACAAACAGGTGGTGGTTGAAGATCGCATACAACCAAAGACCTATTTCCAATATCACCAGCAACAATAAGTCGGGTACCATCAATTTCTTCTTTTCTTGTCCATATATCTATAGATAATGATGCTAAATCACTGCAGCAAGGTATAATCAAATCCGTAAGCAACACAGGTGATCCAAAATCGAGGATAACAAAACGACGAGCACCAGAATGCATTCGATCGACCACTAATGCTTGTTGGGGTGGCCAACACAATAGTCTTCCCCATGGAAATGTAACATCTTTTCGCTGTAATGTATACAGATAACATGAATTAGTTTTTTAACAATATTTATTTTGACAATTATTAAACATCTACTTTATTTCTACTTTGTTATGAGGTGGATCATAATCATTCAAACAAATACATGAAAATACAAAAATAAATAATTTCATCCTACAAAAAAGTATATTAAGATTGAATGTTCCCAAGAATTAGAAATTTGGGTAAAATCAATCATGTTTTTATCTACATTTAATTACTCTGTAATACTTAATTTCTATTTTTTATAAAATGTCATAATAGGTATAATTTTATATAAATTATTCTTATATTATTACCCAAAATTTCATGGTATAGGAAAAAATGTATACATTTATATACTTAACATTAAAAGCGTTAAACAGGAACAAATTTATATAGATTTAATTAAATCTAGTAAACCGAAGTGTGTGCACCCACATGTACATATATTTGTGTATGTGCGAAATAAAATTGAAAATGATATTACACTCGCAAAATTAAATCATGGAAACAGATTTGGAAAATTTCGCATCATATTTGCTCGTGCGTTGATTTCAAAACAAATTATTTAATACAATAGGACCTGTGCAATTGGATAACATTCTTATCACACCTATGTTTCATAAATCTTAGATAATTTAAATGGAAAAATGTGCAATATGATAAAATAATATCAAAATGACATTGATGTTAAAATGCATGGTATCCTAAGGCTGTCATGCAATTTGCAATTTATGTATCTAGCTTTGTACCCGATATATTAATGAAATTATATAAACTGAGTTACAAACAGCGTATTAATAAAGCTATAAAACTTCATGGTGACGACAGGAAATCGTCAAATCGAGAAACAGAAAGAAAAAGGTGCAACTTCTCATCTATATAATCTACCTTTTTATAATTGCTGTCTTCAACTTTGTTTATAGTAGTATTGATATTTTGTACAGACGACTTTTCTTTCGTTACAGTAGAACTTAATATACGTGAAGTAGGCATATCATTTTGTGTATTATGCCATGTCTGATTGTTGATAGGCATATCATTAGCTTCATCACAGTCTGATTGATCATCAGGTGTGAATATCAGTTGTGGAGCTGGCTTCTTTAACATTCTTCCTGTACATAGACTAAGTAGATCACTTAACATAGGTGTTGACTTAGCCTGAACATCAGCTCCTAGTGATCCAGCATCCAAGTTCTACAATGTACAATGATTTCTATCTAGATTATGTTACCTCTATTTGAAAAAACATCTATACCATTTAGATTTAATGTTCGACGCTAAATGACTGTAGTTTTAACTGTTTTAATTAAAAAACAGAAATTGTTGAATTGCCTGTCCTATTTTATCATGTTGCTCTGTAGATAATTTTTTTTTTTTATTATTTTTGCTAATGTATTGTCGTGTTTAAAATAATTGCATGTTCCATAAAATCGTTAGTATTGAAATGTAACAGAAAGAATATAATATATTAATTTAAAAAAAAAAACGAGTGACTCACGAGAACTTACGTAAGTGTGATGAGTAGTTTTGATGTCAGGTACACCGTTATTGTTTGTAGCTGTACTATCATAAAGAGGTGCTCCAATATTCATACATGGGTCAATTTTCTCCATCTTGGTACCATCAGAAGCAGCAAGACAAGTGAAGTGAAGAGGCTCAACCTGAATTTTTACAATTTTTGAATTTTTACATGTTTATAATTAAATATTATTGAAATATTAATAGATAATTACCTCCAAAAGTCCTTTCATATTGTGATTAGCACATAAAGCCTTCAATTTGCTAGATACCACAAGTTCACTAGTTGGGTGTGTAGGCAGTGTAAGTAGGTCCCTCAAATCAATAGCATCCTGAGAATACATGAAACTTGGTGAAGCAGTTGACGGTCCCGTTTGTTCATTAGCTACAGCTGACACATATGTGGGAGATATAGGACTATACTTGGGAGGCATCGGCGATTCCAAGTCGAATAATTCGGTCTCAAACGGAGAATTATACAAACCAAATCTGTAAAAAGTTGAGAAGTTATTAAATTGTTTCAATGAAATGCATTAAACTAAGAAATTGAATTATACCTCGTCGCAAGTAATAAATGATATGGATTTACACGATTCGATATTTCAGCAGCTATTTGTTGTATTAGAGAAATACATTGTTGAGCAATACTATGATTTCTATCTCGTATTAAAGTTCTATTAATTAATAGTTGTAACCAACGTAGTGAACCAGCCCACTCAACTTCTACAATCGATGGTAATAATGTTACTAATACAGATACTAAAGCTTCGTCAAAAGATTGAGGTGGAGGGTCATCCAAATTATAAAAACCACTGAAAATAATTTAGTACATTGTAGAATAAATTTTACATATGTTCTTACATATGCTCTATTTATTTAAATATTGTTGCGTCATTAACTTACCCATTACAAAGCATAATTAATTTTATACACTTGTGCGCTATACTTCGACCAGCATGCAAAAGACAAGTTCTCAATAAATTAGATAATCGTGTCTGCACTGAACGAATTGTTTCCAACTGAAAGTTTTTTATTTCGGTATTTTGATTGCTACGAAGCCTCGTTAATCTAATAGAGGCTATCCATACAAGAATATCTAACGCAAGTGATTGTGCAATTGGAGACCTGCAACATTTAAATTATGTTATAATGTATCTTCACATAATAAATATAACTTCAGTTATTCTTATTACAAGATTTGGTCTTACTTGTCAGCCGTCTGTAAACAAGCTACACTTAATAAATTTTCAAAGCAACTTTTAGATTCTAACATAGCACATCGTTGCGCCCTTTCATTTAGTATATTAGTGGAATACACCGTTCGAACAGTAATTGATATTTCATAAATACAATCACAACCTTAAATAAATATTAAGAAAATGAACCACATATTTCGCAATGTCTAACAATAAATAAAATTATACTTACCAATGTAAACATCTAATTTCTTACTACTTGCACCTTCTACAAATCGACGTACTTCGACTATCCTTAACTTTTTAGATATAGGAGGTTTGTTATCTGATGAATTTGTTGTTTTCGACTTTGGCGTAGCCTAAAAATAAAAAAATAACATTTATCACATGTATCATATTTAAATTTCGGCATACATTTTAAATAAATACTCACATTATCTTTCGCAGGATCAATTAGAGCCTTAATATGAATAAGAAGCGTTCTGGCTTTAGAACGAAACAATTTTGGACTAGTCAATGTAACACAACCAGAACGCCAAGATAAATCTAAACTACGATGTAAATCAATCGGCCCACATAAAATTTCAGTATTATGTTGTTTCTGAAACTCTTCCGTGATTACAGGATTTTCTCCCTTTTGTTCATTACCTATGTTAAAATCTATTCTTTCATCCACAGGAGTTAATAAAGGCTCATGATGACCAATCCTTTTAATATTTTGTTTTAATAAAGTAATTTGAATCGATGGCAATTCTTGACAAACTGAATGCAAACTATATCGTACATCCACATGACCAATACGTCCTGCGGCACTTCGAGGAAGAGTCAATTCAAATATGTGCTCGTCCCAAGTGTTTCTATAATTTATGAAACATCCAAACAAGATAAAATATGAAGTGAAGTTAATATGTAACTATATATTCTAATAAGTAACTATATATCCATACAAACCGCTCATTGTGTAAACGCCATGTACGAGTATGGTGTTGATCTTCTGATTGATGAAAATGTTGAGGATGACGACGCTGTCTTTGGGCTTGCATCATTTCATTCCAACAAGGAGGAACAGTAGCACCATATGCGGGAGAATGATGGTCAAATCGTGTCAATTCATAAAGAGAACGTAAATCCAAATACGAGAAACTTAATTTGTGCGCAATTAATTGATCTCTGAAAAAACATATTTCATGTTAAAAATGTTCTATCTACATTGTTATTTTAATTTTATTTTTAATCTTACTGAAAAGCAGATGATGTTGACGTGCTAGGAATTGTACTTTTATTACTACTTTCTTCAGCTGTCATCATATTAATATCCTCAATATCCTCCTTATCTTCCATAGAATCTTCTTCATCTGTAGTAATAAAAAAGTGAAGAGCACCATCACTTGTACATGCACACAATCTCTCTAAGCCTGAAAGAAATTATTTTGTACAAAAATAAAAAATATTAACAGAAATACAAATATTAAAACTTACTAGTGCAATAGGCTGCAGAAATAAACTTTTTGCCTTCTACCCTTGCTTCAGTAACAGTTTTCAATGAATTTAAATTTAATACTCTGACAATACCATCTCTGCATACTAGAGCCACTTGTCCTACAGGTTCTGATACACTTGGAGCAGCAGTGGAACACCTACTAAAGTTTTCATCAGACAATGTATATTTATTTTTGTCTTGAAATGGTAAAAACACATGTTCAACAGGAGCTTCATCTGCAGATAATTCTCGTTTTGCTACTGGCTCAGAAAATACCTTCACCACTTGTCCCGAAAAATCCAAAGCATACACAAGTAATACGGTATTCATGTTATTTACGTCATCATTACCACTTATTAGTCTATCAGACTGTGTATCATTATGGTCCCAATACACATAACCTTTCTGAGGGAAAAATTCACTATCCTCGTCAATATCCATCTGATTATTATTTGAAATTAATGAATCTGTGTTATCTGTCGTAGGAGACATGGCAACATATAAATGTCTGCCATCTTTAGATGGTTCAATGTGTGTAATTTTAATAAAATCAGGAGCTTCGATAGGTAATGTCTTTACAACAACTGGTTCAGTCTTTGTTATTTTCATAATATCCAAACTTTTCTTATTTGCAGTTAGATCAGATGTTGATGCAAAATGTTCTGGACAATTTATAGGATTAAAATTGGCGTCAAATGAACTGGATGCTGGTACTGTGATACCAATTGGACTTGAATAGATCCCATTGGAAGATGATGCAGAAAGAGCAGATGTTGGAAAAATACCATCAAAATGTGGACCAACTACATCTGCATCTACATCCTCTATTACTGGAACTTCATAAAAAAATTTACTAACCAAAAACTCTTGATATAAATTTTCTTGACGTTCACCGTTTGAACTAGCACTAGTGCCTGTTCCAGATAATGTCTTTTTAGCCTTAGTCTCCTTAGCATTATCTTCTTTAATTGGTTGTGTTGTTGCAGTTTTATGGTGAAAATCATAAAATACTAAATAGTGCAATCTTGATGGTGCATACTTATCACCTGCTACCTTCATTATATCTAAAGTATCACTGGCAGCACTATTTACACTGTTCATTGCACGAACAAGAGATGATGATGAAGCTAAATCTGTTGAAGCAGCCCACACATTTTCTAAAGTCCTTAATTGTGATGGGTTACTAACTGTCACAGTAACAGCACACACTACACATGGCCTGATTTTAGAGTCTGATGTCTCTACAGATAAAAGCGTAGAACCAGATGTATTTGCTTCACTGTTTTGAAATTTAGGAGAACCTACTACAGACAATGCTGTGACTTGCACTTTATGAGAACCTGAATGCTTAAAATCAGAAAGGGGATCTGCTTCTGAATTAAGTGTCCTTAAATATGATGTCAAATTTCTCGTGGAACCAAATTGAATAGAGTCTTTATTATTTATTTCTTGATCTATAGGAGCCACATAAAATGACACCTCCCTCTGTGGAAAATATATTTTATGAAAATATTTTTATATGAGGAGAATTAATTAACATGTATTACTAAATATTACCTTTAATTGATTTGTTACATTCCAAACATTAATAAAACCTCCACTGGAAGCTGTAGCTACAAGGCCACTGACATTTGTAGTGCTAATCACATCTACAGTATCACCAGCCTCACGTGCAGGAGCAGTAGCAAGAATAACGGACAAAGGAACATTTTGCGTATATTCTCCTTTGACAAATGGACATGCTGGGGAATGACGTTCATGTTCCGACCAAGGTTCATCCGTTGGTTCCCAACAAACTAAACACACATTGCATGTAAAACACATTATCCTATCATCACCTGTTGCATTTGGTTGATGGTAGAAACCAGCCTGTGCCATTTGATCTGGCAAAGCCCATCTAAAAAAAAAAAATTCATATAATACATCCGTTCAATTATTATTTAATAAAAAACAATGATTTGAGCGTTGTACTTGTAATTCATGTGTGGCCATTTTGAAAAAGTATCTCGGCGTGTAGCTTCACTAAACATTAATGCTTTATCAGCAGGACCTCCTTCTAATGGCAGGCCTGGTAATAGGCCATTTAATCGTTCATTAATGGCAGAAGCAATTGGCAATGCTGGAATATATCTGCTTAATCTCTTCAATTCCGTTACTAATCCTGAGCACACAAGTTTCAGAGAACCATGTGGTAATTCCAAACATACTGTATTCCACTATTAGAAACAAAATAAATAAACACTTGAATAAACATTAACTCATTCAATAATTTAAAATTTTACTATGCATTTATTTGTCATATTTACTTTTTGAGCTTTGATTCCCTTTTTCTGATTTGCTTCTATTACAAAGGTTTTACTTATTAATTCTTCTTTTACTTCTTGCACATGATCTACACCTGGTAACTCTACACATCTTAAACACTGATATAATAAAGTAGCTTCAGAAAACAATAACTCTAATTTTACAATGTCTTCACTTCTTGAAACAGGTGTTTGTAAAAGTGTGTCCAAAAAGAGTACACCGTTATAATCACTACGTACTCCAATTCCTCTCCCATCTGTATATAATATTTTATCTACACCATTTGACAAATATGTACCTTGAAGTTTTCCATTTAATTTTCCTGTAAAAATGAAAATCAGAATACTTTAATTCATTAAAGATGATTAGGTAAATAAAATTTATTTCGTTGATTAAACATATATCTTAAAGATATCACTTAGAATAAAACAAAAACATAAATATGTTCATGTAGCAATATAGAATAGATATTAAACATTGCATAATTTGCAGTTTGAATTAGAATTATTATTACATAATTACTGGTATAATTATAAGACTAACATGCTTTTTATATAAATTGTGCTTTAGTAAAATAACAAATGGCAAATATGTTTTTCCAAAAAAAGAAAAACATGCAATAATCGGTATAGTTTAAGATAGTCAAATGACTAAAAATTTATAGTTATATCTTAAACAATAACAAACCAATGATAGCAAGTAATTAATAACAAAAATTGATCACATTCAAATTAATGAGAATAGAAAAACTTGAGTCACGCCTGACATATACGACCTTGACCATGAGGCGTGATTGTACGTTACAAATAAATTACGTACAGGATTTGTGATAAAATGATTTGCTATCAATATGAAATTCTTTTATGTAAGATATAAATGAATCGAAATGCTTACCTGATAAAGAACTTTTTTGCAAAATTACTCCTGAGTTGACATCAAATACATATACTTGCGCACTGCCAGTAGTAATTAGTAACACATTTAGATTAGCATGATAGATTATACTTTTACACTCAGTATCCACATTTAAATAACCGTCTTCCTTTAATAACCACGGATCATCATCAGCCATTTTGCTTATACAGATTACAATTCTCAAAAAATTTGCCTAATGCACGAACATCACAAAAAACATGGCGTACTCATCACCGCCATCTTTGAGTAGAACGTCAGCAAATCGCTCTGAAGTTAGCTAATAACTGTCAAACGATTTATTCACTAATGATACATCGATACACATCCATCGATTTTCAAAACTACATCTTCGAAGAATACCACAAATGCACACATACAATCTAACATTTTGCAAATAAATAATTACGTTCATAATTCTTCGTATGTCAAAAAAATATCAAAAGTAATTATAATGCATGAATATTTCATGAATATTTAACGCAAAATAATCATGTTTTCGTGCATGTGATTTCATACAATTTTCATGGACGATCACATTTTTCTACATGTATTCACGAAATTAATTATCAAAAACTTGTCAAGGAATATAAATATAACTCAAATCATTACATGTTTTTTCATTTCTAGTATTTATTTTGCATTTTGAACATAAAATAACTGAGATAAATTTATACACTACAAACCACAAGAAAAAGGTACATAACACTGTGAGAATGTCACTATTTCGTTTTTATTAATTACAACAAATGTTCTTAATAATGTATTTTAAACTGCCCTACGTATCTTGGTTTCTTTAGTAGCTTCTAACTCTTCCAAGAATTTATTAACATTTTCTTTTCTCTCCTGCATAAATTGTGCATGTTCTTTTGGATCTATTTCACGTACAATTTTAATACCACAAGTTTTAGCTATTCCAACAAGCATTTGACAAACTTGTTCTAAAGTTAATAATGCTAATGGTGGATCTTGTGCCTTAATACAAGCAATTTCATACAAATGTTTAAATGTTATTTTCCCTGCTACTTCCTCTGAAGAAAATTATAATATATTTAATCTTAAATATAATGTATTTAATCTTATTTATTTTTTAGACATTTCATTTACCAGTTGGTATTTTGGCTTTTTGAATTCCAGCCGCTTGTTTCAAAAAATATATGGCTGGTGGTTGATGAATTACTAAATCATAAGTCCCATCAGATTTTACTTTAACACGACATGGTAGAGGTATGCCTTGTCTAATATCTTCTGTCCTTATATTAAAATCTTTGCAAAAATTTGCTACATTAATATTTCTCTAAAAATAATAACATCAATTTCATGAAATCATAAAACATAAACCAATGCATCATTTAAGACATAAAATGCCAATCAATTATTTACTACTGTGTTGATATAGAATATTTTACAATATCTATTTGTAACTTCATAAAATACTGTAAATTTTAGATATAAAATCTTTTAACCTGTGCAAGTTGTGATCCCAATGGTGGTTTGGGATTTGCCATTCCTGCGGGAATGGTTACTCGTAAAGGTGAAGAATGAATAACCTTTTGCACTGTTTTCTTCCAATCTTTCCCTTTTTTCATTACTTTAGCCATTTCTCTTAAATGTATTTAAATTTTTATTTGTATCAAAACAAATCTAAATAGCATCCCAAAAGTAGTATAGTAATAAAATAGTATTATTTTATCAAGTTGACAACGCGTGGAAAAGAAATTCACTATACTATAGTATAAACATCAATTTGGTTTATGATAAAGTGCGAACACTTTATAACATTAAATAATTTAAAAACTTTATTAAATTAAGAAAATACAATAATTATAGATCTGTCTTGAAGAAAATTAAATCAGTAACAAATAATCAAAATGGGTAAACGTCAGCATCAAAAAGATAAAATGTAAGATTCTCTTAATTAAATATTATTTAGGTTATGATAAAACAATTTTCGTTTTCCTGTTAAAATTTATAATTCTTGTTACATGTATTACTTTTATAGGTATTTAACATATACAGAATGGACAACGTTATATGGTGGGAAAAAGTCTGGAACTTCTGAAGCAACTGAAGATACAACATTTCGTCGTTTGCCTTACGACCATTGTTGTTTAACTTTGCAGCCTTTTCAGCACCCTTATTGTGATATACAAGGAAATATTTTTGAACTGGAAACAATATTAGAATATATAAAAAAGTATAAGCATAATCCAGTTACAGGAAAGCCATTAGATTCAAAAATGTTAATAAAACTTAATTTTTATAAGAATTCAGAAGGACAGTATCATTGTCCAGTTCTTTTCAAATTATTCACTAAACATTCACGTATTGTTGCTATTAAAACAACTGGAAATATATTTTCATATGAGGTAAAAATTTATTAAGTTAAGAAATATATACTTATCACTTAGAGTAACATTTTTTTAGGCAATAGAACAATTGAATATAAAAACACGTAATTGGAAGGATTTAATAAATGATCAACCTTTTACAAGAAAAGATATTATTATAATACAAGATCCAAATAATGCAATGAAATTCAATTTATCTACATTTCATCATATTAAAAATAATATAAAACTTGAAAATGAAGGTAATATCTTATATTTCAAATAAAGATTTCAATTACATTGTACCACAATAAATATAATACACATATCGATGATTATTCTAGAAATGATAAAGGAACGTAATAATCCAAATGCAAAATTGAAAACTGTATCTATGGAAACTAAAGAAATATTAGCTGAATTAAATAGAGATTATAAACAAACTGAAACTAAAAAGGAAATCTCTAAACCACAAGCGGATAAATTTAATGCGGTTTGTTTATTAATATTGGCATTTTCCTTTCGTTTGGATAAAACAGCATATTTTAAAGTAAAAATTTATAAATGTAGGCACACTATTCTACTGGTGCTGTTGCAGCTGGCTTTACATCAACAGTAATGCCAACAGAAACTACACATCAAGCAGCAGTTATTGCAGAGGATTTGGTGCGATACGAAAGAGTTAAAAAAAAAGGTTTGTCTATATATAGCATAATTACTATTGTATATTGTTTTATATTTTAATTAATTGAAATATTTTTTTCCAGGATATGTAAGATTAGTCATGAATTTTGGTGCTTTAAATTTAGAACTTCATTGTGATCTTGTTTCAAAAACTTGTGAAAATTTTATAAAACATTGTCAGAATGGTTATTATGATGGCACAAAATTTCATAGATCCATACGAAATTTCATGGTAAATATATAAATATTTTAAGAGATTTATAAATAAGAATATTAATATTATTTTATTCAGATACAAGGAGGTGATCCTACAAATACTGGTAATGGAGGAACATCAATTTGGGGGAAAACATTTGAAGACGAATTCAAGCCAAATTTGGTTCACCAAGGAAGAGGAATTTTATCAATGGCAAATTCTGGACCAAATACAAATGGATCGCAATTGTATGTATTTTATTATATATTCACATGTTTACAAGTACAATTTCATTAAAACCAAATAATTCTGTTGATTCTAGTTTCATTACGTTTCGATCGTGCAGACATTTAGATCGTAAACATACTGTTTTTGGAAAAATAGTAGGTGGACTAGAAACGTTAAATGCCATTGAGAAGATTGAAGTAGATAACAAAGACAGACCAATAGAAGATATAATAATACAAAAAGCGCAAGTGTTTGTTGATCCTTTTCAAGAGGCAGATGAACAGTTAGCTACTGAGCGGGCAGCCGAAATTGAACGATTAGCACAAGAAGCTATGAAAAATAAATCAGACAATAAAACAGGAAAGAATGACGTGTTAAAAATATATCGATCAGGCATAGGAAAATATATAAAGCCAGACAAAGAAGAAGACAAGTAAAATCGCATTATATACACTTTTAATTACTCATTAATTAAATTATCTACAGATTTCTAGAATAATATTAATTGCTAATTTTATTTACAGAATAGAAAAAGAAGAGTCAAGCATAGCACTTACGATTAAAAAAAGAAAAGTCGTAACAAATTCATTTGGTGATTTTTCGTCTTGGTAGTTATATAAATTTAAAAAAAATGTACGAAAATTATAGATTACTTGAAATCTTAGATTATTTATAGATTAAGTATTGATTTAATTTTATATTCTATAATTGTAAATAATTTTTATAACTATAAGATATTAAATTATAATTTACGTATTTTTATTGCTCTCATTGTAATGTATAAAATATACTGAAAGAAATGTAATTACTTATAAAAACATACATGAACAATGAATATATTTTAATAAATATAATTTTTTTCATTGATATAAGTAGCCTTGTTGCAATAAAAAAATTATATTTATTAATTCGATAAATTGTATTTATGTACATATAAAGGTTAGACAATAAATACTGGAAATCATGAACCGGGTTCTCCATATTTGATATTTGCTTTTCCCAACTGAGGAAGGTAAATTGATCACTTAATTTTGACACATTTTACTGTCATTTTGGTTAAAAATTATTACGGATTGAGTGTAATTTGTGCAAGAATATCTACCAGGTTAACATATATTAAACATGGATGATTTAGGTGAGTAAAATGTATTTTAAACACGCAATCGACTTTGAGCTAACCTCAAATTTTAGTCGATCGTATCGTCAGAAATATTTATATTTATAAAAATACTTATAATATATTATCGTGTAGTATTTACATTTTTGTGAGGTTCTAATTTTATTTTTCGTTTTAAAAAAAATAAATGTATAAGAATAAAGATATGTTTTTTTTAATTTTTTTTTAGATTTTTCAAATACAATATCTATGAATTTATATTGCAGCTACATTTTATATTTGCTTATTCACATAATAAATGTTTATATTTGGAGTATTATTGATGAAGAACGTTGAAGAAAATGAAAAGTAAACATTCTTTTCTAATATATTTTTAGATGACCTGTCAATTTTAATTCTATTGTGTTTATTAATATTTACATACACTATACATTCATAAATATAAAAAGTATATAAGTATTTATCTTATTATTTGCGATTATAGTTGTATTATTATATTCCGTTTGCAGTAATTTTTATCATCACAAACAATATAGATACGATGTATTTAATTAAAAATTGATTAATACTGGATATACAAAATGTATATATAGATATGCTGTAACGTTATGAATGCCAGAAGTGAAATACGTAACTCTTATCTGTATTACCATGGTAACATTTCGTTGCGTCACCATTAAATGCATGGCATGCTAGTTCATCCCCCAATGACTTTATTAATCGCGATGTAGGAATTTAATTATAAATCTTTCTTCACAAGAACATTACTTATTGTATTTAACATATATAATTAGTATTAATTATAAGTTTGTTACGATCATATGCAATCAAATGCGACACACACACACACACACACACAAGTTTAATATTTTCAATCAGTTATCCAGTTTGAGAGAAAACTATGCAATTGTGACGTAATAGTTTTTGATTTTGGAATATTGGAATTATGATTTTCAAACATTTCTGTAATCTCGAACAAAATTTTAAGTTAATTTCAAAAGCTATTGGGAATTCGAGTGATTGGACGTAGTACATTTTTCAAAATCCACATAATATCGTGCGAGTGTGTTCTGACGATGAATTGTCGCGTGCCAACGATTCTACGTATTTTTAGTGTATTTCACGGCGCCGTTGTCCTCTTGTTTTATCGTTGCGGGGAGAGGATAAATGTCGTGAGTGCGGGCGAGCGCCTGAAATACACTTGTACATTTGAACTTCTGGTTTTCCTCCCGTCAAATTCACTCTATTCACAAAGCATCAGTATCGTGATATTCGTTTCATTGTGTTTTTCTAAACTTATCCTATAATCGTAGACACTGAGAAACGTATTTAGTCGTATTCAGTATCTCGTATGAAATCTCAATAACACGTTACGTGCGCGTAAATTCATTGACCGTAGTGCGCGTAAAGTAATTGAAAGTAATAAGTGGAATAACGATCGATAGATTATAACTAGTTTATCAAGTTTCTTACCTGCAAGGTCTTTTCTGTTTTCGTTCTTTTTTCTTTCAAACGTAACACATTATCTCCCTATTCGAGGATTCGTCTCTGTATGAAATTCACAGACGACATTCAACAAGTGGTCGTGTGATGTGTGCATCATCCCCACCACTAATCGATCGTCTACACAGCTTGGTTGTTCACGATAGACAGTGAAGAGAAGCATTACCGCAGTAAAAGTGCTACATAATATCATACATACTTATACGCGATGAATTCGTGATCCCGTGTGAATAGACGTTTACAAGTGTGATTATATTCTCAAGTGCTACGTTTAAAAAAAAAAAATAATTGCTATGGATCGAACAATGTATGGAAAAGTAGAGCCAAGCGCTATTTATCAGCCCTATAAAATCACCGTCACAAAAGGTTCACCACCAGGATGTGAGTCGATAATACTTTTTTTTATATTTCTAACCCCTTAAAGTTTAGCGTGGTTTTAATTTTCTATTCTACGATAATACGGTACAACAACGACATAAAATTGTATCTAATGATTACGGATGCGAGTGTGCGTTCATGCGACATTTTTGCATACGTAATTTGAATACCGGATTGAATTATTAATTAATAATTGTCCTCGATATATTTTCTTTTAATGAAATTAAGATTAGAGGCTTAGAGTTAACACATCGACCCAATATCTGCTCTGCTCGTTTCACGCAGTTTTACGTGATAACGTAATGCGAACTTTTAAATTAAGCTCAATTGCTTTCGACCGTATCATTTTTCGTCCGATATGTAGAGCGTGTTGAAGTTAGCATTTTGAAAAATTAATTTTGCGGTTCTTATACGCTTTTTTAGGTGTATACATAATTATTAAATTTAACTAGTTTAGTATTATGATATATCATACGATAACCTTTGATATGTACTCATGCATGCATTCGATTTATAAAACGATCGATTAAGTTTATGTCTTTTCATTTTGAATTTATTTATTATTATTGAGAAATATATAATGCTCTTAAATTGGCATGAATCTCTAGCGTATCTTCGAAAGTTAGCTTAGATATAGATTTCATAATTTATGAAATGATTATAAAAAATTAATTGTAATTATTGTACTTTAAAATTAAGAAGCATATTTGTTTGTCCTTTTAATACGTGTATCCACGCGATTTATATAAAATTAAATTATTTTTAAAATGCACATTTAATTCTGTCTGAAGGGATGACTCATGATCACATCATTTTTTTTTGGAATACCTTTCACCTACAATGTGGGTTGCCTTGACACTAAACTTTCTGAAATAATTCTCGAAGTCATTATGTACGAACGTTCTTTTTATGGAAATCTATAAAAGAATGTGGTAATTCATTTCTACATGTTTCAAAAGAAGTTTGAATTAAAAATATTGTATCGATATTTTCGAGTGGCGTCATCTGTTCAATCACACTGAAATCAAACTGTTGATACATATATCGACGCAAGGGATCAATCTTATCGATAGTGCCACTTAATCTGATTAATTAATTCCTAAAGTTTCTTCTCAATTTCTAAAGTAAAAGGCCTATAAGAGGATGTTTATGTATATTACATATTTAATTTAATTTTTTGTTTCTTGTTAACAAAAAATTAAAGTAGTTTCATATAAAAGAAAACGGAACATGTATGTATCAGTTAATCTCTGTAGCACTACAGTAATTGTTTATTCATATGAAAGTTATTATTGTTATATCATATATATTATATATTATATATGTATATCAGATTCCAGTTGTAATACACCAGCTAGTTAGGAAATTTTTTTTTATCGTGCATTCCATTGCATGAAAGATCATATAATGATCTGATATGTGCGTAGGCATCTCTTCCTTGAACGAACCTTGGCTTCATCTAAACATATCCATATGAAGCACGACAGTGTGTGATTTAACTTCCTACGCTTACGACTGACATATATGACTCGAATAGAATCAACGTGATCCCTATTCTATTTTCATATGGCATTTTTTTCCCCCCATGAAGAGTCACGTGCAGATTCTGCCGAAGGAAATTCAAAATACCGGGAGGATGATACCGCGGTTAAAGATGATAGGTAGCCGAAGTTATTCTTGGGTCAGTTTGTCGTCATGAATCTAGGAGTAAACGTTTGCATGTATCATGTGTAAACGAAGATGTAAAACAGGGACGAAGAACAAGAAGGTTGAAAAGAGGCAGGAGAGAGAGGAGTGTTCACGTAACATTCTGGGATTCTGTAGATGCAAACTGAGAAAACACGTGCTGGCAGTTCCACCTGGTCTCGCAACACATACATACGTGCCTTCTAACAATAATTTCTTCGTTTGCTCATTATTTTCGACAGTTGCACGTAATAATAACTTGAAGTGGTATGAAATAATTGTATTTTACTTCCATATGTCTCTGTAAGCATACATTGAATCATCATAAGTGTCCAAACGTTACCATGGTTAAATAGTATAAATAAGCATGTATACATACGCGCATTAAACTCGCAATGACAAATGTTATTTTGGATGTTTAATTTCATGCGAAGTATGTAGTAATTAGTAGTTGGCAGGGGAGGGGATTTATATCTATAATAGAATGTTTTGAACAGAATGTTTTCTCTGGCCAAACTGCGGCCTCGTATTCATTGCCGTTCCTCGATTTGTGCCTGTGGCTCTCTGCTACTAGAAAGAATCAAAAGTTAGTGTTCAACGATCAGTCACCCTTACAATTAGACAAGTTCATCTGAAATCGATCGAAACGAATCGAGAAGAATTACATCCTTGAAGTCTCAAGTTTCATTCTACATTCCAATTAAATTTAAAGCGTTGTTTAATTTCGTGTCATGTCGTTGAAAACACAGTGACATAAGCAACATTATGAATCCTGTGTCGCCTATTACACCGGCTCGATTGGCGACCATCCAAAGACACGCACGTTGGGAACAGTATATAAGTAAGTAAATTTGGAGTCAATGGGAATATGAGTTAACGAGAGTAATCACTAACTTTGTCTATGCATAGAGATCAAATTCTAATTGTACTCTAATTACATGCTTTTCTAAGATGAATTTTTTGCTTTGCTCAGAGTATATAGTAAGAGAGCAATATCTGCAATTATAATATTTCTTATAGGATTTATTAACTATTTGGAGACATCATCGTATCATACGTCTAATCCGCCGTCTAATCTTCGAGATTTATAAGGAAAGTGCGTTACGCATATCGCGTAATATTAATGTTGAAATTGGCCGTATGATTCAGAAGTATAAAATAGATCGGAGGAAGCTTGGTAGGCTTTCTGCCAACAACGAATCTCATTCAAACGTGTTGTTATATTAACTCAAAGTCAAGATAAATTGACATTCAATAGTTTCATTATTAATTAAAAACTATCGTATATATAAAGTAA